AACTATTTTCAGATGTTGAGCCCCCAAGGATGCAGGGGAAAGAGTAACCAGATCAACACAAATCTCTCACCTTTTGGAAATTTATTCAATGACTCTTGGGGCAAAGCCATCTTCTCACATGAAAGACAGAAGTGTATGATCATCGTACATGATATTTCAAGATGAAAGTAGAGCAGTTATTCAATAAAGGAATTTTGATGAAATTACTATAGGTGAAGTATAGAATATCTGTTGCCTTTTGGAAAAAAAGCTTTGTCCCTGGTACTCCATAGAGTATGTTACTGCTAATTTGTTCTGTGTAAGATTATCTGAATGACAGCCCATTTTTCTTAGACAGGGATGGAATATACTATATTCTATGGAAAATGAAGATGGAAGAAGATGAACATAGGATGAAGTGGGGAGGGTATAGCTCAAGTGGTAGAGTATGCATGCTTAGAATGCATGAGGTCCTGGGTTCAACCCCCAGGACCTCCTCTAAGAATAAATAAATAAACCTAATTACCTCCCCCTACCAAAAAAAATCACTTAAAAAAAGAATTAAAAAATTGAACATAGGATGAAATTTTGGATAGCTATTATTTTCTTTCCTTCCGAGAGTATTTTTCATTTTGGATTGTTGATGAGGATAAGAAAATACCTTTGTACTCCACAATAATGCAAGTGTCCATCTCAGGATGAACACCATCCATCAAAATCATGAATCGAAGATTTCTGTCCACCTGGAATTTAGCAATAAAAACAACAACTGTTTATATCAGTTTGGCTTTTAATTCAATATTTGAAGAAGTTGTCGTCTCTTTTATAAAGAAACCCCCCTTATTGGGAACTGGACTTATTATCCAGTACTATAGAGTCATATCATTGATAAATGGAGAGAAAATCCATCTTTTATTTTAGCTTAAATAGAGATTTACACAGTACTATGTATTTCCACCGTACCATGTACAAAGTCGGCCTTTGTTTTTTTAAAGTGACTACCTCATTTAAAATTTACTCCAGGAAGCATAACTGAAAAGCGTGGAAAGAACACGGATATCCGACCTGCTGCCATATTCCAAACGGCACTACATGGATATTCGTCAACTGGACACCACTCCGATTCAGATTCCAAAATACAGGTCTTTCCGTGTTTCCAACATAAATGGGAATATCAGATCTTCTCTCAGCAAGCTTCTTCAATGTGGGGTAACTAGGATCAGAAGGACAGAAAGGTTGAAAGGTGAAAAAGTAGGATCATCTAGTAGAAGAGACAGTTGGCTCCTTAAACCAACATGTTGACCAAGAAGCAAGGAACTTAAAAACCAGACCCTCACCAGAGTCCAAAAGAAGAGTTTTTTTCTCAACGTTGACCATACAATGAGGGGAATTTCCTAGAAGATTCCTCTTTATTGTTAGAACATACCATACACCATGGCATGTACATCTAAGCAGATGTGCAAATACCCATCTTCCACACTGATGCTGCTCTGAGCAAAGGTAATTCTAACAGAAGATACAGAGTGGAGAAGTCATGCTAACGTGGTTTCTGGTAGGTGACAATCTCCATGAGTTTCATTTTTTCCTCATTCCTCAAGCAGCAGCTCCCAATAAGAGAAAGGCTTGGCTCTAAGACAAGGAGAACCTGTGGACTG